AATCTATCAATCTGCCTGCTACCCAAGGGTATCACATGGTTTCTTTTTGAGATCTTCATAATCACTACATAATCACTACTGAAACAGCGACGTCTACGTTGGCTCGGGCACGTCGTGAGAATGGCTGATGGTCGGATTCCAAAGGATCTCCTGTATGGAGAATTAGTGCAGGGAAAGCGCCCCAGAGGGAGACCACAACTGCGATACAAGGACATCTGCAAGCGAGATCTGAAGGCCTTAGGAATAGCCCTCAACAGATGGGAAACCCTGACATCTGAGCGTTCAGCCTGGAGGCAGGCGGTGCATCACGGCCTCTCCCAATTTGAAGAGACCCTTGCCCAGCAGGCTGAGGCAAAGAGAAAGTCGCAAAAGCAGCAAAACCAGGGAGCCAGACAGGGGACAGACTGGATTTGTCTTCAGTGTGGAAGGGACTGTCACTCACGAATTGGCCTCCTCAGGCACGCTAGGCGCTGTTCCAAGCCCTCCATACAGAGCACGCTACCATAGTCTTTCGAGACTGAAGCATGCCTAACTAACTAATCACTATTCATACCACTCTGCAGTTCTGATATGATTATGATGATTAAAAACCACTCTGAATGAAATTATCATCTATCTCTCATAATGTCATAAGTTTCATTTTTTTTTCTTGACTGGATTTAGTACACAATGGAGTAGCACCACCATGTGGCAAACATTGACAACAGTGACTGCACCTCCAGGATTTAGAAGGAAGCATCGTTTTACAGCAAGATACTTTCTCTTCTGTCTTGCTTTACAAGTCAGCAAAATTATACAATACCACTATTTATGTTTTAGAGTTTTTAAAATAAACTTACAAGGTCAAAGAAGAGGAAGGAAAGAAACAAATCAAACAGTCAAACCAAAGGGAACAGATGGGTTGATAAGATGTTTGATTTGAGAAACCAATAAAAACAATTATTTAATAGCAGTAATGTTGTCTTCCTTTCCCACAAATTTTATTACTACAGTGTGTTAATTTGGACTAGACTGTAATTTGCTGAAATGTGAAGGATCTTTCTTTCTTCCTGTTTATTGAATGTGTCATAACAATAACTCTAGACATTCAATGTTTCTGGTAATACATCTTTGTGACAAATAATAATGACACTAATAAATCAGATAAGTATACAAAATTTTGTATGATATATATCCTAAACCTGGCTGATAGCTGGTTTAGGTATCTGGTTGCAGAGCCGGAGGTTGGGAGTTTGATTCTGTACGGTCTCTCCTGGGAGAACAGCCAGCTGGAATGGCCATGCACAGTTCCTCAGAAGGGAACAGGAAAACACCTGTGAGTACTCTACTTAGAAAACCCTGAAAAGGGTCTCCATAAGAAAAAAATTGGCTGGAAAACACACAATTATTATTATTAATACCCTGAAGTCCTCCGCATTTTTTTGGTAAGAAATCTTCCCTCATATTTTTCTAGCATAAATAGGGCCTATTTGCAGATTTAAAGAGTACATTAGAACAGTGGTCCCCAACCTTGGGCCTCCAGATGTTCTTGGACTATAACTCCCAGAAGCCTTCCCCACCACTTCTGCTGGCCAGGATTTCTGGGAGTTGAAGTCCAAGAACATCTAGAGGCCCAAGGTTGGGGACCACTGCATTAGAAGACCTGTGTGCTTTGGAGTCTCTTCATGGGTTCTGTATACTCTTGATTCTGTATATGCACAGAATGTAAAGCACACAGGCGGTTTGGGCCCCTAGTAGATCTACTTTAGTCCAGAACAGATCTTGAACTTGTGACCTAAACCATGTGGGTTCAGTCTCAGTGATTCCTCACAGCTTTGGCCAAAGAAAGCAACTACAGACGGCTTGACTTACAGACTTTTCGAGTTACAGACTTCTCTGGCCACAAAATTTAGGTTTGACTTGCAGCCAGATAATCGACCTACAGACCAGGAAAAAAAACAAACAAAATGGAACAAAAACGGCCGGTTACGGGATTAATCGGTTTTCAATGCATTGTAGGTCAATGGAGACTTGACCTACAGACTTTTCGACCTGCAGCCACAGTTCCAATACGGATTAATTCCGTAAGTAGAGGGTCCACTGTACAGTTGACTAGCCACACCTTCAATGCAAGCTTCTTCCATGAAAGGTCACTATGAGAGCAACCCCTTGAGACATTTTAGTACCTGAATGGTCCCAAATGAAGTACTCTCCTCTGCCATGTTGTGCTACATAATATAGTGATACCCTCGCTGTGTGAAACATAGCTCAACGGAAAGTAAAAAGCCATTGGAACGCATTAAACGTGGTTTAATGCATTCCAATTCGGCCGAATACTCACCGTTGTGCGATGTTCCGGGATGGCTGGCAGCCATTTTCGCACCCTCCCCTCGCTGAACGAGGGCGCGAAAACACTGCGATCAGCTGTCCGGCGGGTCCAAAATGGCTGCCGAAACAGTCCTCCCCTCGCTTACCAAGGGCGCAAAAATGCTGCGCGTGGCCATTTTGGGGTTGTGCGGTGGCCATTTTGGACCCGCCGATCAGCTGATTGGCAGGTTGCAAAGCGAAGGTCGGTAAGCGAACCACTTACTGACCTTCGCTCTGTGAATTTTCCCTTATCTAGGTGCCGTTGCGCAGATTCGTCGCTCTACGGAGTGACTGTTGCGCAAGGCACCACTGTAACTCATTAAGTGGTGAGCCCAGAAGTCAATGCAGCTGTCCATGCTATCTTTCAGTGGTGTGGAGCAAGAGGAGGGAAGCTCATGGACCAATGAAGTGGGCTCCCCTTTTTCCACTCACAAACTGCCTGTAATTTGGTGGCAGAAGTTACAAGAAGCAGCTGGGGACCACATCATCTGGGTATCCTTGCTCTACACAACCTGCTGTGAACAAATCCAACATATGTTTGAAATATTCATTCATTCATTTTCTGTCTCTCCCCACTCCTCATGAGAGCTCAGAGAGGCCGACAATTCAGACACATGAACAAACACAGAGTTAAAATCACAGGTCAGATATATTTAAAAATTTAAGTCTAAAATCACACATTAAATTCACTGAAAATTATGAGTATCTAAAATCACAGCTGAAAAACACCTGATAAAATTATATGAAAACAATATAAACAAGTAGCAGTTAAAGGCGTATTGAACATTTGCACTGTTCTTTAAAATATAAAATATTTGAAGAGTCTGGTTATATGAACATGTTTGCCATCACATAAAGAGAAAGCAATTGATTAAGGACTGCTGAAAAACAGAGCCTGCTGAAGATGCATTTCCACCCCATATAATATTGCCACCTGCTGGATTTTACTGAATACTACAAACAGATTTCCTTCTCCACAACCTCCCACTCCATCCTATTAGAGAAAGTGGGTTTGGTTTTGTTTTCTTTTGTTTTGAGTGCTGAGAACTCTGTCACAGAGCTTTTTCCTCAATCTCACTTTCTTTCCCATTGTCAGGAATGTATTATTTTTTTATTTGTTTTGTTGTTTAGATTTATTCTCCTTCAGTATATTATCAAGATGGCTCATGGGATAGTAGCAGAACCAGCATAAAACAAAGAATATACTGTTTTTCCCCTCTGAGAACATAGAATCATAGAATAATTGAGTTGAAGGGGCCTATAATGCCATTGAGTCCAACCCCTGATCAATGCAGGAATCCAGGTCAAAGCAGATCTGGCAGAGGGTATTCCAATGTTCTCTTGAATGCCTCCAGCATTTGAGCACTCACCACCTCCCAAGGTAATTGGTTCCACTGTTGTGGTGGTCATGGTCTTGTGCCATTGTCATATCAATCAGATAAGAAGGTTTTCCTGATATTCTGCCTAAATCTGGCTTTCTTTAGCTTTAGCCTGTTATCATGTGTTCTGCACTCTGGAATGATAAAGAACAACACCTGCCCCCACCTCTGTATTACTAGCTTTGAATTATTTGGTCATAGTTATGAAATGACTTCTTGGGAGGAAAGCGATGACAAACCTCGACAGCATCTTAAAAAGCAGAGACATCACCTTGCCAACAAAAGTCCACATAGTCAAAGCTATGGTTTTTCCTGTCGTGATGTATGGAAGTGAGAGCTGGACCATAAAGAAAGCAGACCGCCGAAGAATTGATGCCTTTGAATTGTGGTGCTGGAGGAGGCTCTTAAGAGGCCCCTGGACTGCAAGGAGAACAAACCTATCCATTCTGAAGGAAATCAACCCTGAGAGCTCACTGGAAGGACAGATCCTGAAGCTGAGGCTCCAGTACTTTGGCCATCTGAGAAGAGAAGACTCCCTGGAAAAGACCCTGATGTTGGGGAAGAGAGAAGGCAAGAGGAGAAGGGGACGACAGAGGATGAGATGGCTGGACAGTGTCTGCGAAGCAACCAACATGAAATTGACACAACTACGGGAAGCAGAGGAAGACAGGAGGGCCTGGTGTGCTCTGGTCCATGGGGTCACGAAGAGTCGGACAGGACTAAACGACTAAACAAACAATGAAATGAAAGGCTGAAGGACAGCTTGGTGGGCATCATGGAGTAATACAAGGAAGGAAATCAGGCCAGTGACTCTGCAAGAGCTGAGCAGAGCCATGAATAATAAACATTTTGAAGGTTGACCTACGTTGGACGCAATTTGACGGTAACACTAAAACTTCCCCACAGTTGATCAAAGTCCTGTTATTGTCATGTTATCATCACATCCACTCTGATGTATGATTTACAATAACAATATACCAAGCCAAGCTTGGTAAAGTTACTGTTTTGGATGGCAGCTCCCACCATTCCCCAAGCCAGCAGAGCTGCAAGTCACAACAGACTTCTCTTCAGGTCCATGAGGAGACCAAAGATCACCAAAGATCTCAGTTTTGAAGACTCCGACTGATGGTTCCCAAATTAAAGAGGCCAAGGAATTCCTACAGTTGGCATGGATACAGCCTAGACCCAATGGAAACAGAATTCTTTGACCTCAGAATGAGGTCACAACCCAGAGAGATTCGGTTTCTCGGCAAACTGAGCAACAGCTAACAGTCAGGCTGAGCCTTCACATGATCAGGATGGATCTTGCTAGTAAGCAAAGAATGGGGTTCGAGGTGGGTGATCTTAACCTTGAAAAGCCACAGTGATTGAGAGGAGGTTGAGAGGAGACAGCGTTTGATGGGGACTCAGGAGACCTGGGTTCAAATCCCTTCTAGGCCACAGAAACCCTCTGGGCAGTGGCAAAGGCATACCAATCCTGGAACATCTCTATCTCAAAAGCCCTATTAGGATTGCCAGAAGTCAGAGATGACTCGATGACGACACTTGACCATGAGAAGACTGTTCTTTCCTGGATAGAGAAAAGTTGGAGAAGGACTTGTTAAAAAGGTTTTCATTGTGCTTTTCTGCCTGTCTTGTCTAGAGCTTACAAAAGTTACATTTTGAGGCCACAGCTCCAAAACTCTTGAGGAAGAATGAATGCCAGACATTGCGAGAGCGCAGAGCCTTCTTGAACAAGTGGGAGTCAGTTGCAACCTGGGTATGTGGTTTTCTTCCATCTTTTGCTCTGCAACTAATGTCCTGTCTCCTGTTCGTCTCATTTCACAGGTCTGAGCCAGCCTTGCCATTAGGCTGAGGAAGGCAGGAAAATTAAGGTCTCAAGCAAGGACAAACCATCATTTCATATTTCATTTTGGCTCCCAGAGAGGTGTGTGATATCTTCTTCCTTGGGAGAAAAAAAAACAACTTGACACATCCATGGGGTTACCCGTATGCTCTTCAAGGACCCTGTCATAAAAAAAGAAGTTACTTACCTGTAACTCTGGTTCTTCGAGTGGTCCTCTGTGAATTCACACTAATGGGTTAATCTGTGCTCGAGCAGAGCAGTTTCGGAAACTTTCACAGCTTTAGGCATTTAGTACTGGGACCTTCCCTACACCAGCTATATAACTCTGCCCCCAGCACTAGTGCCTCAGTTCTAAGGAACCGACTGCCACTGCCCAGCATGCCATGACACACATGACAGACAGCGGGGAGGAGGGTGGGACATGTGAATTCAGAGAGGAACACTCGAAGAACCAGAGTTACAGGTAAGTAACTTCTTTTTCTCCTTTGTGGCCTCTGTGAATACACACTAATGGGTGACTGGCAAGCTAACTAACCAGGAGGAGGGATGTCACGAAAGTGCAGAAGCCAGGACAGCTCGACCTACCTCAGCCTTCGGCCGGACATCCAGGCAGTAGAGCAAGATGAGGATAGGCAGAGTGGCACATGTGGCAGAGTGGCAGGCATCCGCAACGTCCACTCCACAGAGAAAGGCTGTTGATGCCACAGCTGTAGTAGAGCGAGCTCTTGCTGACTTTGGAAGAGGAGACTCTGCCAAATCATAGGGAAGGCAGATGGTCTTGACTAACTATCTAGAGATGGTTTGAAAGGAAGCTGGTGCTCCGAAGGAGGAGCCAGCAAAGGTGACAAAGAGACACTGTGAGACACATGTGAGGTCATGCTATGCACATAATGCGACAGAGCATACTTAATGTCTCACAGCTGTGGTAGATGCCATCAGCCCCAGGAGTCGCTGGACCTGTAGGACAGGGAAGCAAGCGCCTGAAGAAAAAACGAGCATAAGAAGTCAAGCAATTTCGGCGTTGCAATCTTTGGTCTGAACTCTGCTCCAGGATCCTATTCATTCTCAGCAGATTCCCTCCTGCCCTCTCTCTCCACCAGTCTGCTGCAGCTCCCAGGACCTCAGTCGTTTTGAACACCTGAAATCTGAGCCACTTCCTGAAATAGAGAATAAAGTGGGAAATGTTCCAGGATGCAATTGGCTGATCTACCGGAGCCCTCTCCCAGCCTTCT